GCAGTCATGACATCCATGCCCAGGCTCCTTGAGCCTTGGGAAAGGCCCACCAGTGACCGATCAACTGTATGAGAGTCACCGAATACCTGCAAGCCTCCTTGGAAGCAGGCAAATCAGAGTCCCCTAATACCTGCTGGCTGTCCAACCAGAAGAGACCGAGAGTCTAGTCACCTCCCAGCAGTAAAGTGATAATGAACATATCTTCAAAATTTTTTAAATCTTGATTGAGCGATGGACGTGGGCCAGGGGTAACTCTGCTGCTCCTTTTTAAAATAGTGCTGTTGGATTTTTTACTTCCAACTGAGAAGGCAAAGGAGACTTTAATGTCTCATCTAATAAACAACGTCAACTTTCCTGCTCCTCTGATGCTGCCTGGCCTGCTGTGATCCTCCAGCTCCACACTGTTATCTCTGACAATACAGCACCCATTTACTATTGCACTGTAGTATCTTGGCTTCTGTGTTCAGGTTTTGGTCTGGGACTTTGAACCTATAACCTCAGAGATTAGGGTGCTATCAATTGAGCCATGGTTGACAGTAATCAACAACACACTGACTACTTCAAGCTGGGTGACCATTCCACTACTTAACAAAAAATAGCTCCTGATGTTTTTATGCCCTATTGAACATCCGCAGTCCATCTTCTGGGTCTAAAGATTTGAAAAATATTCCTGTAAATAGGAATAATATAAAATTTAAAATTAATTATTAAAAGATAGAAGATATATAATTCTTGATTTAAGGATATCCTTTCCTCAAAAAACAAAATGCATTCATTAGCATTGGCTTTAATTGTAAAATAAAGAAGTCAAGCATCCTTGCAAAATGCTACATGAAGATTTGTCATTCAGCACCATTTCCTATCACACGATGCTGCTTGTTCATCAATTTTTTTTCCATAACATGATCTATGCTCAAATTGTGCAACATATTGGCAGGAACTGAAGCTATAGCATGAATTTATGTATGAAGCTCTAGTCCAGTTTAAGCAGAAGATGCTGTTGGTTGTGAGACAGTGGTGAAAATTCATATGGTGTAGTTGGGAATATACCATATATCACAAAATTCCAAGTGCCCAACGAGTTGGCTGAATTATGCTTTCAATTCAAAGTTAGCTAGTTACGTCCATTTGTGCACATTTTTTTGGCAAATTTACGAAAGAAAATAGATTTTAAAAAAGATTTTTTACACCAAGAATGCAATATGGCTTAATATTGGTGAAAGGCTACAAGTAAGCAGCTATGGGCACATGTGCAACATGCATCATGTCAAACCTATAAGCACAATGCAGAATTGTAATAATGTTGCAAAAGCAAAATGTATGATCTGAGGCTGATTTTACAAATGTCCACTGACAACACAGGTTCTTGTAAAACACAGGGAGAAAAGTTCTTCATCCATCCACTTGATAGAAGCAGATTCGTGAGAAGCATATCTGCAATTTGACTGATACACAATCCCCAGCAGGTGAGACATTTCACCAGGAGCATAAATCTGTAAAATTGGCCGTTGGATTAGGTTACTGGCCAGTTGTACAATCAAGGACATGTCATTTCAACTTCACAATTACAGTGCAGGTTGACCCCTAATTTGAATATTTCCCATTAGACGAGCAGCAGGAGAAAAGAGGAGAGGTATTTGTTTTTAAGAGCGTGGGAGAAGAGAATGGAGGGGAAGATAAGCATTATTAACAATTTGTATTGCAGTTGATAAATAAGCTTGGATGAGTAAGAAGGAAATACGGATTAATGTAACAGACTTGGAATCATGGTGGGAGAATTAAGAATGGTGACTGGAGATTTGACAGAAAAGGTGAGAGACAGAATGAAATGAATAATATGGAGGGAGGAAGCTGGCATTGCGAAGGTTAAAAAGCTGAAGATTCTGCCACTACTGACAGACTGGATGTGAGGGGTGAATGTTTTATGCTGGGACCAATAGGTGAAATAAATAGAGGGATGGAGGAATTAGCAGACACAGGCTGAGGTCAGCCATGGAGTGATCTGAAGACTTTAAATTTGAATCCAGAAATGAGTGAACGTCCACTACCACCCACAACTCCACCTGCTTGAAATGGCAGTGAGACTAGATAGTTAAATGTGACCAGGCCTCCGACTGTATAGGACTGAATCAGTCTTTATAGGGGCCTGTCCATGTTGAGCCACAATTACAATCCCAACTTTGAACTGAACACTAATTCTATGAGGCAGCAATACTGACCACAAGATGACCCATGCTATGTTCCCCCAACTACCACATTTCTCCCGTAAGATCTACTCATCATTCACTCAATGTCATGTCCATTCCAAAGATGAATCTCCAGCGCTGAGTTTCACCAAAGCTTCTCATGTGGAATTGTGTCAAAACAACCCTTTAAGTCCAGGAACTTTACGCCATTGTTTTAATTAGGAACATCCACTTGTGTTGTCACTTCTGTAAAAAGGTCTTTTTTCATTCATTCATGGGATGTGATTGTCTCAGGATAGGCCAGCATAATTGCCCACTCCTAATTGCTCAGAGGGCAGTTAAGTGTTACTGTGGGTCTGGAGTCACATGCAGGCCAGACCTGGTGAGGATGGCAGTTTCCTTCGCTAAAGTGAACCAGATGAGTTTTTCCTGATAATCAGCAATGGTCATTGTTGGACTAATTGTATTCAAATTTCACCATCTGCCATGGCAGGATTTGAACTCAGAACATGACCTTGGTATTTGGATTAATAGTCTAGCAATAATACCATAGGTTATTGCCTCCCCATTGAGAAAGATTGTTTGTCAGGATATTGCTCTTTGAATCAAAATTGACTGCTGTCTACTCAATAATTATCTATACCACAAAAACCAAGTTCACAACTAATAACTGATTTTGTTATTCTACCCAGGACTCATGACTAATGAGTTAAGCAGAATGTTTAGTTGCTCCTTCTTGTTTTCAAAGAAAGTACAATGCTAACTTTGGTGTTTGTCAGCTGGCTCTGCATGAATTCTGTGGGTTGTAGTGGGGGAATTAGCTCAAATGGTGGAGCATGCACTTCACATGCAACAGGTAGTAGGATCGATGCCCACGTTTTTATTTAAGACAGAGATAGATGAGTTCTTGATTAGTAAGGGGATCAAGGGTTACCGGAGAAGACAGGAGAATGGGGTTGAGAAACATATCAACCATGATCAAATGGTGAAGCAGACTCAATGGACCAAATGGCCAGATTTCTGCTTCTTTATCTCATGGTCTTAAAGCTTGGTGGTTTGGGAAGGGGCTGTTGCCTCATTGGTAGGAAATTCCTAAACCAAACACTGAGATCTGTCTTTATGATTCATCTATGTGTGCGAGATTCCAATACGCATCTACGGGACGTCAATGATAAAAGTCAATCGGACAAATTACTGTTTCCAATCTACCAGTTGTCATCTCCAACAGCATGCAAAGTTCTCCAATGCAGTTGATCTGAAGAAGAGTCTTTGGACTCGAAAAATTAACTGTTTCTCGCTCCACAGATGATGCTAGACCACTGAGTTTCTGCAGCGTTTTCTGTTCTTATTGCAGATTTCCAGCATCCTCAACATTTCACTTTTAAGTGATGTGAAAGATAGCACCATACATAAAGTCATGCAAAGTACACATGGAGCCCAAGACATTAACCAATCAGCCTACATTTTGCAAGTATGCAGAGAGCAGCTAAAAATGTTGCCCATAGCCAACATATTTTGGAAAGATGCGAGTGCATTGTCACAGCTTTCTTGTCATTGAATTGCAGGGACTGCTAACTGCTGGTAAATTAGACCATGGTATCCCTGTTGGATGCTAAATCAACCTGTTTCTAATAGACAAGTATCCACCACTTGTAACATATGGTCAGAGGATGGATTAGGGTTGATGTATGAACTAGCCATATTGTCTCACTGGTCAATACTGGTTAACTGTGGATCAGAAACATCCAATTGCTTGTCTTGATGTCTACCATGGAAACTCACAGGCAAATTTAAACACACCTACACATTAAACTGTTGTTGGTATTAACATGTCAGTGCGCTCAGATTTGGTCCATATTTACTAAAGACAGAACAGCACCTTTCCAAACCTCCAAGACTTAAGGGACTCAAACAAGGCAACCTAACAGGCAACAAAAGTTGACACTGTGCATAGACTGTACTCAAGAATGTTAACCTAGAGTTTGAATGGAGCCAGACTGAATACTAGAGTCCAGGTAGAATGCTGGATGTGTGGTGTCTAATTATATCTACCACTTCCCAGCCTCTGTGTATACCAGTACTCCAGTGAATAGGTCAATGCCAGTAAGAAGAGGCCAAATTTAAACATGAATTGCCAAAGATTGAAAGGTGGACTCCTGGGATCAAGTAGGAAGGCACTTTGAAGAGTGCTATACCATTAAATAGTCAGTCAGCGGAGGCATTTCACGTCACTTCTCAATCCTCTCCAATTACAGCACATCCCGGGAAAAGTATGACAAATGCACAACAGTTTTAGATTCTTGATCGCATGGACTGAAGCAACAGGTGTATCACACTGATCAATCCAAATAACTACAAGCTGCAAATGAATGGTGAAGAATCAGCCTCTTCCCAACTTAAAATAAAACAAAAGAATAGCAGACACTGGAGATCTGAAGCAAACCAAAAGAACAGAAAGTGCTGGAGAAACTCAGCAGGTCTGGCAGCATCTGTACAGACAGAGAGAGAGAAAACCAACAAGTTAACATTACAGGTTATAAACACACAAAGTGCTGGAGAAACTCAACAGGTCTGGCAGCATCTGTGGACAAAGGAAGAAGAGTGAACGTTTCCAGTCCGCTATAACTCTGTCAGAACTCCATCTCATTCCCCGCACGGATGCTGCCAGACCTGCTGAGTTAATGAAACACTTTCTGGGTTTATGGCCCGTAATGTTAACTCCGTTGTCTGTCTCTACAGATGGTGCCAGACCTGCTGAGTTAGTGCAACAGTTTGCAGTTTCTGTTCCATTCCCCTCCCTCAGTTGCAATGTACCTCTGGTGAAGAGCCTGGTTTTTTCTTCAGTTCCTCACATTTCCGCAGCTTGCAGATCTGGTGGCCGGTCTTGCGGTTCCGGCAGCTGCTGCACTCTCCGCAGTTGATGAGCCTCCTGCAGGGTGAACAGAGCCCGCACCTTTTCCTTTTCCTCTTGGCCGGCCCTGGTGCTGAGCCAGGGCCCGGGGGAACGAGCAGAGTGCAGTCGGGCACACTGGCGAGCTTCAGCGCACCGTCGACTAGAGCCGCGGGCGAGTGCAGGGGGGCGGTCATGATGATGATGCCGGGGGGCAGGGAGAGAGCTCCCAGGGGGGCGGGGAAAGCGCCGTCCTCCAGCCGCTGTTGCAGCCTCTCGCCTGAAGTTAGCCCGGGCTGGGGGCGCTGCGGCGGTGGCGGCTCGCTTTGCAGAGCGGGCCCGCTGCTCGGGGTGCACAAAGCGGCCGCCTGCCTCTCCCGGAGCCGCTCACTCTGGGATCCTCCCAGTCTGCTGCTGGCGGCGCCTGGCGCCTCCCCTTCTCGCAAAGCTCGGCTGGAGCGCTCATCTTCGGGCTCAGAATCCACCAGCACCACGCTCGCCTCCTCTTTCCCAATGCAAACACTGGTTCCGCCAGCAGACATCGCTCACCGTCTCTCTAAAGCAACAGCACTAAACAGCGAGACCTCCGCTCTCGGGCAACTTTCTGATTCTAATTCCTTCACTGCCCCAGCGCCGCTCTCTTGTTAATTCTCATCGCCATCCCATTTTCTTTTATATTTCTTCCACCTCCTCTTGCCTTTGTATTTTGTTTTTGCAGGGGAGGGAGGTGAGAAGCAGGCTGCTCTCGTGGAGACAGAGAGCAAAGAAATAAACACACCGAGAGGCTGGTGTGCTAAAATCTGCAAGTAGACAGCTAAGGAAAATTCAGCGTGCAAGGCAGATCGAGTTATCACTGTAGTCAGTTTTCTCTCTGCTGACCCAGGAGTTTTAGGCAAAAACAGGTTCTGGGTTTCAGCCTCGTCAAAGATGGTCAGGGTGAGACTGTGGTGAGCAAACTCGCCAAGACTTTTAGGGGTCTTTGCTGGAAACCCCGAACCATTTCGTGACACAGTCACCCGCCAGTAGCACAATGAAGTGTATGGACCCAGCGCTCACATCTGGCTGTGCAAGGACCGAGCTTAAACGGGAAAGCAACACACAGAGAAAGATTTCACCTGCACTCCAGTCCTTAAATCCAGAGAGACACGGAGGGAAGCTGAAATCATTTGTTTGCAGCTATTTCTTTCTTGCTGATAGCTGTAGATCTCAGTCGCTTGATTTAGGATTTAACCACCGTGACCGATCAGGGCCATTTCGCCTGGGAGTTGAAAGTCATTATCCTAAATTATAATTCAGTTCAATCCACAGGAGACACACTGTGAGAAATGGCTAGTTAGGTTATGACAATCGAGTCAAGTAACGCATTGATCGCATTTGAGTCTATTTTGAGGGAATGAATGGTCTCTAACTCAAAACGCGGGTTTAACGCAATTGTTGAATCCCCAACTTGAGATCCAACGAGAATTAGCCATCCTTTCCTAACTGGGAAACAAGCTCACTGTGCAGAACTCACTCAGAGATGGTAGGAACTGCCGATGCTGGAGAATCTGAGATAACAAGGTGTAGAGCTGGATGAACACAGCAGGACAAGCAGCATCAGAGGAGCAGGAAGGCTGACGTTTCGGGTCTGGGCTCTTCTTCAGAAATGGGGGAGGGGAAGGGGGTTCTGGAATAAATAGGGCGAGAGTGGGAAGCGATGGTAGAACGTGGATAGAGGAGCAGATAGGTGGGGAGAAGACGGACAGGTCAAGGAGGCGGGGATGAAGCCAGTAAAGGTGAGTAGGTAGGGAGTTGGGATGGGGGTTGGTCAGTTGGGAGGGAGGGAGGGGCGGGTAGATGAGAGAAAAGACGGACAGGTCACGGAGGTGGGGACGAGCAGGGCTGGTTTTGGGATGAGGCTAGGGGTGGGGAGATTTTGAAGCTTGTAAAGTCCACATTCATACCATTGGGTTGTAGGGTTCCCAGGCGGAATATAAGGTGCTGCTCCTCCAGCCTTCGGGTGGCATCGTTGTGGCACTGCAGGAGGCCCAGGATGGACATGTTGTCCAAGGAGTGGGAGGGGGGAGTGGAAATGGTTTGCGACTGGGAGGTGTAGTCGTTTGTCATGAACCGAGCATAGGTGCCCCACCACTCCCAGCACCTTTCCCTGCAACCGCAGGAAGTGCTACACCTGCCCCTACACCTCCCCTCTCACCCCCATCCCAGACCCCAAGAAAACCTTCCACATTCAACTGATGTTCACCTGCACATCTGTTAATGTGGTATATTGTATCCGCTGTTCCCGATGTGGCCTCCTGTACATCGGGGAAACCAAGCGGAGGCTTGGAGACCGCTTTGTGGAGCACCTACGCTCGGTTCGTGACAAACGACAACACCTCCCAGTCGCGAACCATTTCAACCCCCCCTCCCACTCCTTGGACGACATGTCCATCCTGGGCCTCCTGCAGTGCCACAATGATGCCACCTGAAGGCTGGAGGAACAGCACTTCATATTCCGCCTGGGAACCCTGCAGCCCAATGGTCTCAATGTGGACTTCACAAGCTTCAGAATCTCCCCACCCCCAACCTCATCCCAAGACCAGCCCATCTGGTCCCTGACTCCTTGAACTGTCGGTCTTTTCTCTCACCTATCTGCTCCTCCCACCTCACTGACCAACCCCCACCCCCACTTCCTACCTATTAGCCTCATCCCCACCTCCTTGACCTGTCCGTCTTCCCTCCCACTTACCTGCCCCTCCCTCCTCACTGACCAACACCCATCCCAACTCCCTACCTACACTCACCTTTACTGGCTTCATCCCCGCCTCCTTGACCCGTCCGTCTTCCCTCCACCTATCTGCTCCTCTATCCACCTTCTATCATTGCCTCCCCCTCTCTCTATTTATTTCAGAGCACCCTTCCCCTCCCCCATCTCTGAAGAAGGGTCCAAACCCGAAACGTCAGCTTTCCTGCTCCTCTGATGCTGTCTAGCCTGCTGTGTTCATCCAGCCCCACACCTTGTTATCACTGTGGAGAAGTTTGAATTCCAAACAGTTACAAGGACACACTACTTCTTAAGTTTTTTTTAAATTCCTTTACGGGATGTAGGTATCCCTGGATGGGCAGCATTTATCGCCCATCTCTAGATGTCCTCCAGAAGGTGGTGGTGAGCTGCCTTCTCAAACTACTGCAGGGATACAATGCCTTCAATGAGGTGTTCCAGGGTTTTCAGTGAAGGAACAGCGATCTATTTCCAAGACAGGATGATGAATAGCTTAAAGGGGAACTTATAGTTGGTGGTATTCCTATGTATTTTCTGCCTATTTTCTTCTAGATGGAAGTGGTCATGGGTTCAGAAGATGCTGTCTAAGGATCTTTGTTGAGTTTCTGCAGTGCATCTTGTAGATGATATACACAGCTGGTACTTAGTGTGGTTGGTGGAGGAACTGAATGTTTGCGGATGGGCTACCAATCAGACAGGCTGCTTTGTCCTGGATGGTGTCAAGCTCCTTGAATGTTGTTGGAGATGCAGTCATCCAGGCAAGTGGGGAGTATTCCATCATATTCCTGACCTGTGCCTTGTAAATGATGAATATGCAACGAAGAGTCAGGAGGTGAAGTACTCCCTGCAGGATTCCTCACCTCTGACCTGCTCTTATAGCAACAGTATGTATACAGCTAGTTCAGTTCAGTTTTAGGGTGGGGAGAGGGGTGGTGGTGATGTTGGCGGGATTCTTCCAGAACTTAGGAACTATACAGCAGAAGGCAGAGCCTCAACTGTTATCATAAAGCAAGTGGAGCCTCCACAAGAAGCTTGAACAGGAATTGGAGGCCTGCAGATTTTGCAGAGTACGGAAGGACTGAAGGATGTTGCAACGTTCGGTATGTGGAAAAGGTAACACAAGAATGTGAATTTAAAAACTGAGCTACTCAGTGTAAATCAGCAATCAATGTAAATCAGCATGACATGGGGACTTTCTGTGAGATAGGAAATGGACACCAGAGTTTTGAATGGGCCCAAATACAAACATATGAATTACGAACAGGAGATGACCATCAGCTCCTTGAACTGCTCCACCATTTGATAAGATCATAGCTGATCTGACTGTACTGTCTACTTTGCAGTCCACCTCCTATAATGTTTGAGTTTTGTATTATTGAAGAATCAATCCAATTCACCCTTAGCAATGTTCAATGGACCCTGCCACCACTGCTCCCCGGGGAAAAGAGTTCCACAGGCTATTGACTGTCAGATGATTCTCATTTCTGTTTTAAATAGGTGAGTTCTTATTTTTAAAATGTGTCTCCTAATTCTGTCTCTCCCAAGAAAGGAAACATCCTTTGTATATCCACTTTACAAGTCCCTTCAACATCTGTGGGCCCAAATCTTCCAATTTCAGTCAAAACAGATCCAGCAGTTGGTAATCAGTTAAAGATTGCCCACTTACCTGGTAGTGATTCTTATTCTGGCTGATCCCAAATGTCATCATTTTAGGAAACCAACTAGGAATCCATTCAGCATATGATCGTCATTGCATGCCAAGATATGTCCTCTTTTATGGTAGTAGCTGCCTACTTCAGTTCACAAAGTGTTTAAAGATGCATGTGTGTTAGGTTTTATTGGTAGAGGGATTGAGTTTCGGAGCCATGAGGTCATGTTGCAGCTGTACAATACTCTGGTGCGGCCGTACTTGGAGTATTGCGGACAGTTCTGGTCGCCACATTATAGGAAGGATGTGGAAGCACTGGAAAGTGTGCAGAGGAGATTTACCAGGATGTTGCCTGGTATGGAGGGAAGGTCTTATGAGGAAAGGCTGAGGGACTTGAGGCTGTTTTCGTTAGAGAGAAGAAGGTTAAGAGGTGACTTAACAGTGACATACAAGATGATCAGAGGATTACATAGGGTGGACAGCGAGAGCCTTTTTCCTCGGATGGTGATGGCTAGCATAAGGGGACATAGCTTTAAATTGAGGGGTGATAGATATAGGACAGATGTCAGAGGTAGGTTCTTTACTCAGAGAGTAGTAAGGGCATGGAACGCCCTGCCTGCAACAGTAGTAGACTCGCCAACTTTAAGGGCATTTAAATGGTCATTGGATAAACATATGGATGATAATGGAATAGTGTAGGTTAGAAGGGCTTCAGATTGGTTTCACAGGTCGGCGCAACATCGAGGGCCGAAGGGCTTGTACTGCGCTGTAATGTTCTATGTTCTATGCCAATGCCACTTTAACAGCTACTGGGAGAAGCTAAGTGTGTAAGGGAAATGGGAGAGAGTGTGGGGGAGGGGGCAGATTAATGGGTAACAGGTTAAATACCAGATGGGTGAAGGGGTGCAGATGGCAGCTAAGTGGGTCAAGGTGGTTTGGGTTGGATGTTGGCAGGTTTGGAGGGTTTTAGGAGTACAGAATGAATGTTTGGCTGGGATGTGTCCATGGGGTTGTATATGTGCCTGTTGAGACAGAAACTGATGGGATGAAGAGGAGGTGGCTTGGGTGAGGGTATTTTGTGGCCGTAAGTGTGTGTTTGGGGGTTTTAAACTGAGTGATTATGGGGGAGTCAGAGTCTAATCCCTCTAACATTTCCTGGATAACTATTAAAGAAAGTAAGTTGTAATTCCTCTCCCCATTGTCTCTGAATCTAATACAGAGCTGGGGACTTTTTGGAACATTCAATTAACAGTAGTACCAAGCATAAGCTTGCAACACACCAATTACATTCATTTCTAGTTGTTCAGGTATCAATACAGTATACATACCTGCC